GGAGTATGCTCTGAGTACTTTCTGTCCCGTTCCCATTCCACATCCCTCCCCTCGGCGAACCTGCAGTGACTTGGACGAGAGGCCGAGAGGCGTGTTCTTAGTGATCTCTCAGCAGCTCCCTCCTCTGACTCCAAGTGCTCTGGGCCTGCTGGGAAGGCACCGACAGCGGGAAGGCGCTCGCATGTTCCCTGCTTGCTTCCCTTGGAGGGGGCAGTGAGTGTTTCTTCTCGTATCCTGCCTGTTCAGAAAACGTACACCTTGTCTCACCCCTCCTTTCGTACTGGAAATGGCAACCTTATTTCATTGCTCTTTTGCAAACCTATTCTTTTCTGTTAATTTGCACAGGTGCTATTCTGACTTTGAATTTCATAGGATTTTTAAACTGTAAATTTTCTTATTGTTATGAAGGTGACAGTGGCTTACAGTGGCTTATGTTCTTATCTACTTTGCTGTCTTGCAATCTGGTGCCTTGAAGACACTTTTAATTTGCCATTCACATCTGTTTAAAAAAAGAAGAAGAAGAAGAAACTCGGTTCTGTCAGTGTCAGAAAATCAGAGTCTATTCAAGACCTGGCACGTGGCTACCAGTCTTCCCCATCCCAGGGCCTAGCTGCTTCATTCACACCAGGAAGAGTCACCTTTGTCCAACCAGACTGTGTTCTTAATATTAGCAGAAACCCATCCGGTCTCAGCTGAAGGTTAATCTCAGATAAGAAGTTTGACGTTTTCAGTTAAAGGCTACAGAAGGCTAGTGGAAATTGGAGATACTAGATAGTGATCAGTGGGCGCAACGCTTTTCTACCTGAGAATGCCAGTGATCGGAAGTGCAGCAAAATCAGGTCGATGACCTGGAGACTAAGATAGGATTAAGAAATGTCACATTGGCAGGGGGTAGGGGATCCTCGAGTTAGAGAAACAAAAGGAATTTTTTTTTAATCGATTCCAGTGGATTACAAAGGTGTGGGATTCGATAGCTTTGAACTCTCCTCCAGACCCCATGTCTGCAAAGGTCCATCTTCCCCAGCAGTCCCAGACATATGCAGCTCTGGAAACCAATAAGAAACCTTTGAAATTTTGTTTTTGATGTGGTTTGGTCTAATTTTTAAAAGCTTAAGGAGGTTTTAAAAATTACATTTGTTTATTGACTATCTTGGACAACTAGAGACAGATGTAGCTGCTGAAGAAAGCTGGTAAATGGGAATTTAGAATACCATTTGCCCTAAGAGGCAGATGGTCTCTATAGAAGTCTGACTTCATTTACTGTCCTTTCTGAAGTTAAATGAAGGAGGTTGAATTTAAAGATAAAGTTGAACTGAAATTGTGGAAATATTTGGATACATAAAGGCCTTTAATCTGTTCTAATGTGGAATTTGATTTGCCTTTTTAAAAAGTACATTCAGACATTTAACAGAATTTTTACGAAAATCTGTCTTGAACACATTTGGCCAGGAAAAAAAAAGGATGATTTCATTTGATGGTATAATGATTAATCCTTACCACCTGGGTAAGCCAAGCAAGCTTCCCACAGGAGATTGCTTCTGCAGCTTTGAATTATGTATGAATATTGCAGACTGATGAGATAGAGCCTTCCAAGAGATTCGTTTATATAACACACGGATCTGCAGCAATGTTAGCTTGTTTTGAATAACTTCCGTTCATTCTGCATGTTCAGAAAACGAGTTGTCTTTGTGGAGATTACAACATGGTTTGTTAACTTTTGGGTCAGAAAGACTAAATGTCAATTAAAAACTGGTCATAAATGAAAAGTTGGTCGAAGAGTTTCAAGTACAAACATACGTTGTCTTCTGTTGTGAAATCAAAGTGAGTACTGAGGGTCTAGAACAAAGAGTAGGCCCAGTCAGGCCTTAGCCAGCCTGAGGCCTGCCTGCTTGCCCCCAGATGTCAGCACCCCGCTTATTACAGACTTTCCTCGTTGCATTACAAGACTATGGATGGTCCCAACGTGAAATTAAGTAGCAGAAATGCAAGAGCCGTAACTTCCTCTTTGTGGGCCACTTCTCCCTTCTGTTCTATAGTAATGAATATCAAATTGAACTTACCCTGGAAAAAAAGATTTAGGTGCCCTGGTCATTATTTGCTGTTTCCAAAACATGTGCTAACAGAATGTACAAGAAATTCTTACACATTTCTTGGAATTGTCATTTTAAAGAATTTTTTATCATCTGTCTTAAAGATAAAATGAGGGGAATTTTATTTAGTATTCGGGAGAGTTTTCTAATTTTATGTCTAAATATGAATTTTAAAAATCCAATAGTCAAAACTTAGATCCCTTTATAAAATTCATAAGATTTCTCTTTTCCCCCTTCCTGGACAGTTTGTCTCTTGCTGTGTTCCTATGCCGTGACCGAGACAGCCTTCTCTGCGGCTGCTCTCCAGTCGCCCATGTACAGCCCAGCACGCGGGCCACAGCTGCGCTTGAACTCTCCAGTATCTCGGCATGACATCATTGATGCATTTTTTAAAGTTTTACTCCTTTTAGACACCGCTGTCACTGTAAATGCAGATTAAACATTTTAGCAGCCATTCGCAAATCCATGTGCTTTTGCTTTATCAACTATTTGCATAGTTCTTTATAGTTAACAATTATTTTAATTGGTGATTTAATGTAGCAATACACTTATTTAAAATGCACTTATGCCCTATGGCAAAAACCTAAGAAAAAAAGAAAGAAAAAACAAAAGGTGCCTATATGAGAACAAATCTTTATCTGGAATATAGTCATTGCTGCCTTGGTCTTTGAAGGCTTACTAAAACCAACTTTCATTCTGCTTAGCTCCCCAAGGGTAATTTGGCACCTTTCCCAGGCCAAACCCTAAGGTAAAGGTCAAGGTGCAGTGAGTGGTAGTAAGGTGCAGAACTCAAGCTGCTCATAGCTTGCCCAGCTGGTAGCTCTTCCGGACCCAATGGAAGCTGTGGTTCATCAGAGTTTTAGAACATGATGAACAGACTCAAGAAGGCCTGTGAATGGGTAATTGTGTGAGTGAGTACAGTGGGTGAGTCTTTACTATTTCTTGCTTTTCAACATCCGTGCTTTGTTCTGAGACTGTCAGAGTACAGAGCTATGTCTCGGGCGGGGCACAGGCCAGGCATTCAAAAAAAAAGAAGCGCTCTCTCTGGTTTTCACAGATGGCAATAGGCCATCGCCTGGATGGAGAACACACAGCAAGGGTGGGGTCGTTGGCTTCCAAACATTTCACCCACCTTGTTGACTCATGAAAAGGAGGGCTCTTTTAATAATAACCAGGAGACTGAGAAAGGAAAGAAAAAAGGCTAGAGCAAGGCTGCAGAGATTGGGGTCCCCCAAACAGGCTTATAGGAAACCTCTAGTGCTGACTGTAAACAGAAGAATGTCTGGAGCAGTAACATTTCTAAGATTTTTCCCTCTCAACAGGGGAGGGAGGGTGATATTCTAAGATCACTTTATGTTTATTACTTTGAAATTAAAAATAGCTCATATTAACTTTTGCCCAGCAAAGAACACGTTCGCTCTCCTGAAGCACATTGACAACTACTCAGTGATGCACAGCCTTGACACTAATGGTGCCTGAGGTGTCTCGGCTGTGTCATGTTGCTTCGTCTTTGTTAACATGCGGTCACCATTGGTGACCTTGATTTTGCGATGCTCCATATTATGAGAAACCCGGTTTGTGGTTTTGGGGGCTTGGTGACTGAGGGCAGCACATCGAGAAGAGGCAGCAGGCTTTGCTAGGTAAGGCCGCCCTTGCATACCACCCTGTTGATTCCTTTCCACCTCAGCACTGTCCCCAAGAGCTGGATCCTACAAAGGCACTTCCAGCTCATTGCTCACTCCCAGCATAGAGACCCCTGGCTCTGCCAGCTTTGAAGGAGTATTTTTGAAGTCGTATATCCAGCAGACTTCAAGGCTTGTTTTTCTGGCCAGGCACATGTATGATTTCCATAATGAAAGACTGATAAGAAGATATTCCTTCTCTCTCAGATCTACTTCCGTAAATCCACAGGTGATGTATGTTCAGATGACACACAAGCAAGCAAAGTACCTCTTTTAAAGAAACTTGTAAATGTCACCATGACTCCCTGCCGATTGAAAATCCAGAAATAACGTGTAGTCGTATATAAGATCTTTCTTTCTTTCTCTTTGCCCGTAAAGAAAACGGGAAGAAGAGCTGAGGAGTGTGTGATGGTTTAGCATAGTTTCAGTGGACCCAGCAACCTGTAAAGATGCCTGATTTTTAGTTAATTTTATTGACCAGCCCATTGAGATTTTCTAACTAACCCAGTTTTCTCCACCAGCATTTAATGACGGTTCCATCCATTGTATTTCATTGCAGCAGAACTGGCAAAGTGTAGGCAGGTTGCAGAGAGAGGACGACGGGAAGAGGCAGCTCAGAAGCAAATGAGCAGGCAGCAGTAAAACAAGATAGGCCGTGTTCTGGTCTGTGGCCAGTAGGATGCTTCAGGTTCATCCTAATAGAGGATTCGAAGTGGGATGCTGAACTTTGTGTTTCCCTTTGCCTCTCCTGCCCCAGGTATACAGGCAAAGGTTGATGCTTCTACCCTCCTGGCAACACCTCAGTTTATCTAAAACAATAATCGCTCAGCTTCCTTACTTGGATAGTCTAATCTCAACTTTATTCCTGATCCTTTACTAAATACTTCAGTGTGCAGTAAATATTATGTACTAAATAAATACTATCTAGTAAAGTATGTGGTATTTATTGAAGTACTTTAATATAGTAGTTATAGTGCAGTAAACATAAAGAAATACTTTACTGAACACTTGAGTGTTTGTCTTTAACCAGTTAAATACTCAGCTGCCTCTTCCACCACCAGTGCTACCTCCTACCTGAAAAATCGTTCCACCCCTTGCCTGTCACTCTCAAGGTCCCACAGAGCCCACCAGACCTCTGTAGACCTCCGTTACCACACGGGATTTTCAGTATGCATGAATTAGCAGAACCTTCGAATACTAGCGTGACAAGTTGTCTGATTTTTTTCAGTCATGTGACCCATGGAGTGACAGAGGATGTTTCTCCTCGGGACCCAAGCACTGTGGTTGTGAAACAGGATGGAGGGGCCTGCACTTCAGTCACACCAGCATCGCCCCCGCCAGAACTGGAAAGAGAAGAGGAAAAAGATGGTGTTTCAGAGCCCACGGACCTGAACCCCTGTAGCGCGACGTACAGCAACTTAGGTGAGCGCAAATGCCCGTGAATAGTGTTTACACTTTGCCTTTTACACACAGCTGAATGTTCTGCTTTCCTGGGGAGATGGTTTTGATTGTTTTCTGGAGCACAACGTGGACCATTAGAGTTATAAACTCGAACTCAGGTCAGAAGACAAGTTCTGTGTTCACTAGCATGCGTTAAACATCTGTGATCATGAGTTCTATGCTATGTACTAAGGGTGCCGACATGGTCCCTGCCCTGAGGGACTCACCCAGGGAGAAACCATTATTTGTTTGTTTGTTTTGGAGAGATTTTTGCTATAGCACACGCACACTCGCCAGAAAGACAGACAGAGACAGACAGAAAGCGAGAAATCACCCCCTGGGGGCGTGGCTACGCCGCAATCCTTTCTCCTCCATTCTCCTCTCAGGATCTTGGGGACACACGCACACGCACCCAGCGTGAGTTTTAAGCCACCGGGTCCAGGACGCAAACCACGGTCAACTACATGGAAGTCCAGCGACATAGCCATTACGCTAAGTGCTGGCCCCACATTTTTACATAGAAAAATACATCATTACTTTCCCAACAATCTAATATGTACTTTTTACTAATTATGTAATATAGGTCTCTAAAATTTTCCATTAGCCGACATTTGTTCAAGTTATTTTATCTCATTGTCTTCTCAGTTATGAAAATTGGAAGGAAGAAATAGGGCATTGCCTCCATGTATGTTCTTAGTGCCTACTATGTATTAGCTCGTTTAATCCTCATAGTCACCATAGAAATCATTATCCCCATTTATCAGAGAGAAAAGTGAGGCAGAAGCACAGTACCTTGTCCAAAGTCACAGAATTGTAAGAGTTGAGCCAAAATTGTAACCCAGTTGATCTTAACCACTAGACTATAATGGTCTTAGGACTTTAAAACAAATATGGTTCCTTAGAGTACAAAAATACTAAGTTCTCGATTGCCTCTTAGAAAGATAACTTCCTTTCTACCTATTGCTTTCCCTTTTTTGGGGGGGTGGGGAAGTTCTTGCTATAGGGCGTGTGCACTTGCCAGAAAGAAAGACAGAAAGCAAGAAATCACCCCCCCCCAGGGGGGATGGCCACACCGCAATCCCTTCTCCATTTCCCTCTCAGGATCTTGGGCATGCATGCATACGCACCTGGCATGAGTTTAAGCCACTGGGTCCAGGACTCGAACCACAGTTGGCTACATGGGAGTCCAGCGACATAGCCATTACGCCAACTGCTGGTTTCTACCTATTGCTTTACTTTTAAAGGTCTGTGATGCTAATAAAATGTCATCCAGTTTTTCTGAAGTGCTTAAGTAGCTATACTTGACACTGTGGGGTATGAAACAGGGTTCGTTGCATCTATGGAACGGTAACAGATAGGTTGGCCCCCTCAGTTCTACAAACTGAGGCTTTGCTGTTTCATTTTAATTTTTGCTTTGCTGTTATTTTTTTCTAATGGAACAAATATTTTATGTGACATTTAGAACTTTCCTTTTCTACTACTTTCAACAAATCATTGGCATGCAGTTTTAACTACTCCTTTGAGTAATTTTTTATGACTTAAAGCCCTGCGAGTATAAAATAAAATTGATGTGTTTAAAACCTGAAAGGAAAGAAAACTTCTTAATGTAATACCTTTAGATCCTTTTAAATATTACAGAATATTCCATAAAAAGACCACTGTCAGGCCAGCAGGTGACATGGAGGTTAAGGAGGCTGGATCCCACGTGATCAGTATCCCAGAAGGTGAAGAGACTAATAAGGACATTGACAATCTATTCCATGAAATCCTGGAAGAAAACTTCCCAAAACTAGAGAGGCCATTCAAAGATCCAGACCCAAGAAATACAAAGGACCCCACATAGAATCAACCCAAGAAGATCTTCCCCCAGGCACATCATAGCCGGATTGACCAAAACCACAGACAGAAATAAGATCCTAAATTTGGCAAGAGAGAAATGTCAAGTTACTTTCGAAGGATATCCCGTAAGGCTAACCTCAGACCTCTCATCAGAAACAATGCGAACAAAGAAAGAATAGGAAAATATATTCAAAGTGTTAAATGAAAAACAATTTCAACCAAGAATACTATACCCAGCAAGATTATCTTTCATATGGGAAAAAAAGGGACAAAAACATTCTCAGATAAGCAAAGCCTAAAAGAATTTACCAACACCAGACCAGCTCTCCAAGAAGTGCTGAAGGGAGTGCTATACCAGGAAAACTAAAGTCGGACACACAGTATAAGAAACAGCCAGGAGAATGGCCAGCCTAATTGTAGCAATAAGTCCAGAGTTGAATGTTTACTTCCAGAGTTTAAATGGAAAGATCAGACCACAGTGATCCTGCAAATTCAATAGAAGAGAGGTTAATTTAATTACGTGAGTGTGAACTAGTGAAATAGAATTTTTTTAACTTTAGACTAAAACATTACTGATTTTCTTCAATGCTGTGATTTCCATATTTAGGGATTTTTGTCTTCTCTTAAACTATTGAAAGGTTCGTCTACCTACTATTGTACTGAAGCCCAACCTTTTCCTGGCTTTACATTTTAATCAGATTTCTTTTAACATGTTTTTTTTTTTTATCTATTAAAACTAAAACTCTTAGGGGGCGACAGGCAGTGTGGTGGATAGGGGCGCTAGATTCCCACATGCCTGACCATGGTTCAAGTCCCAGACCTGCTGGCTTGCTTTTCCTTTCTCTCTCTCTCTGGTGGTCAAATCAAAAGATAACAATAACAAATGGAATTAAATAAATAAATAATTCTTTAAAAAAGTTTCTCTTGAAATAAAATATTTTTAAATACCTACTAATACCTATTTAATGACTGCAGTAAGCTATATATCCCCAGAGAGGTGCATCTTTACAGTATGTTCAGTTTACTTTCTGAGGTTGTTTTTTTTTGGAGTGGTTTTTGCTGTAGGGTGCATGCACTCGTCAGAAAGACAGAGTCACAGAAAGCAAGAAATCACCCCCTGGGGTGATGGCCATGCCGTAATCCCTTCTCCATTCTCCTCTCAGGATCTTGGGCATGCACACACACGCACCGGCATGAGTTTAAGCCACCAGGTTCAGAACTCAAACCGCAGTCAACTACATTAGAGTCCAGTGACATAGCCATTATGCCAACTGCTGGTCCCCTCACTGAAGTTTATGCCTAAAGTCAGACATGCATTCATAGATATGTGTATATCAGCTGTGCTTGCTACTGAAACTTTTTAAATTCATTAAGATCTTCAGTGAATTAATAAAATGTGGGGGGAAAAAGGCATGGAAAACAAGTGTACATACCAGAGACAGGTGTGGGGGGTTGACAGAAGGTGAGAGACAGGGAATCGAGAGGGGAAAAAAGGCAAAATATATAAGAAACAAGAAGTCGAAAATTATTTGTTGTTGATAACATGTATGATAATATCCTTGATTGAGCCAATATACAATGTTCTCTGGATGGAAAATCTCATTGTGTATACTGTATTGCTGTATACTGTATTGACGTACAGTGAATGGCTGTAAATAAATAAATAAAAGAGGAGGGGGAAAAGAAGGACTCCAAGGTGGCGAACAGGGACAAAAGGAGAGGTGACACATAGCAGCAACGTCATTGACAGAGCTGGGTCTTCAGCATCTGCCAGTTATAGCAAAACAAAGGAACGGGGTTTGGATCTGTGTAGTTCGCACATTTCTTAGTTCTGAAAACTAGTAATTTAAAAAAAAAAACTCAATCGAGGGACCAGCGTTTGGCGTAATTATTACATCACTAGACTCCTACATAGTCAACTATGATTCAAGTCCCAGACCTGGCGGCTTAAAACTCATGCTGGGCATGTGTGCGCACGTGCCCAAGATCCCAAGAAGAGAATGGAAGAGTAAGAATTGCAACAAGGCCATCCCCCGTTGGGAGGGTGATTTCTCTCACTTTGTCTCTGTCTCTCCGACCAGTGCACACGCTCTACAGTAAAAATCTCTTTCATAAAAACTCAACTGAATAGGCCCGGGCTGCTCTCCTCAGAACCTTCCACTAGCCCTCGCCCCTTGATTCGGTCTCATCACTCCACTGTTGTACGAGCGTTGTTGTGACCCAGCCATTCCCACACAAAGCATCTCATCCAGTTTGCTTTTCACTTTAGAAATTACTCCTCGGGGTTAATTCAGATGCCATTTATTTTGTTCACAGTTGGATTAATTATTAGATTTTTAGAGTTGCACTATCCAATACAGTAGTCTCTAGCCACATCTGGCTATTTAAATATAAATGCATTAAACTGTCAATAAAAATTTAGGCCCAACCCATTGCCTTGTGCTTAAAGGAGCCAGAACTGAGTACATAGTTTGAGTTCCAGACCTTGCAATTTGAAAAACATGCTGACACGTGTGCATGCATTGCCCAAATCCCAACAGGAGGGAGAAATGGAGGAGATGGGATTGCAGCGTGACCATACCCCAATAGGGGTGCTTTCTCCTTCTCTGTCTCTCTGTCTCTCTCTGGCAAGCACCCTCTAGCAATTAAAAAATCAGTACCTCAGCCTTAACAACAAGATTCTACGTGTCCAGAGGCCACATGTGGCTAGTAGCTACTGTGTAGACCAGTGCTGCTTTAAAGAGTTGATTATTTGAGAAATTTTTATTGTCTTTATGTTGCAGAAAAATCATACTGGTTTCCATGTAACCTGATAAGTCCTTAAGAAGGTTGCCTCTGGGGCGAACAGGTGGCACGGTGGTTAAGGCACTGGATTCCCACATGACTGACTACAGTTTCAGTCCTGGACTTGACAACTTGAAAATCACACCATGCACATGTGTATGCATGCCCAAAATCCCAGGAGGAAAAGGGATTGTGGCATGACTGTCCTCCCAGGGGGAATAATGTCTCACTGTCCTTCTCTCTGTCTCTCGCATTTCTCTAGAAGGTGCATACGCTCTGTGGCAAAAACCTTTAAAAAAAAAAAAGAAAGAAGAGGGGGAGAAGGTTGCCCCTTACAAAGGGATCATTTTTCTCTGGGT